AAAGCCCCTGTGCTTGGCAGTCTATGATGGGAGCTCTCTCAAGGTGCTGTGCTATGATGTTGTTGGTGTGAGAGGCTGTGTCCAGACACTGCGTCCTCCTTTGGTCCTAAGGATGCTTTGGTGTTTCTACCTGGGTGCCTATGATAACCCACCCTTTCTCTTTTCTTTTTTTTTCTCTCTGAGCTGTCTGGTTATCCAGCTGTGCTTGTTACCTAGATTCTAAAGATTACAGAACTGAGATGGGTTAATTTCTTGGGTGATAAGACCACTGGATTAGAGATGAGGACATCTGGATTCTAGGTTTGGCTCCATATGTCCTTGGACACAAAACTTCTCCTCCTCTGTGCTATGGAAAGATTATTCAGATGATCTCAATGTTTTCACCTTTGTTGTGAACCTAACTCTGCTTACCAGCCCTCTGGAGTAGAGACTAATGCATTTTAGTGACTTCAGTGATAGGAAGTGTGGAGGGGTGGGGTGGAGAAGGTCTGTTTTCCCAAGTCCTTAACTGCATTATGCATTTTGGCTGCTACCAGTTATTTAATGATTACTATGTATTTGTCGCCATACCAAGTAATGTATGGATGAGATCTGATTGGCTTCTTGAATACCTTCATAAGGTAGTATTATTATTCCCATTTCATAGATAAGGAACTGAGGCTCCTATGTGGAATGTAGAGCCAAGACTCAAACCCACATTTGCCTGACTCCAGATTTCAGGCTCTTAACACAACACTGCTTTGAGTTCCTGTCCATGTCTATGCGACAGCCTATGCCAGAGGTAGAATTTCCATCAGTGGGAGAGGTGAGGGGTGGGGCTTGTGGGGATGAGCTTGTGGATCACAGCCTGCTCTGGTGAATCAATTTGCAGCAGCTCCACACTAAGCAGCCCACCTCTGCCTCCACCCTCTTTTCTGTTGGGCGCTGCCATGATGTCTCTCGCTATTGAACAACTATGATGTCATGTGGATGATTCACTACACATTTACTCCTAACCCCAAGGTCTTACCTCCTTTAAGGGGGAATATTCCTGGGGGAGTTGGAATGGAGTCCTAGAAGAGAAGAAAGAAAGAAAGAAAAAAAAGAAAATGGTGTGAGGCAGATATTCAATTGAAACAACTCACCTTTTTATTTTCCATTTTGGTTGTCCTCAAAGTACTGTGCAATTTAGAATTCACCTTCCATCTGACTCTTAAATTTTAAAAGATAAATTCACTGACTTAGTTATGATGAACTTGCTCATGCATTTGCTTGACAACATGCCTATCAGAAAAGCAATTCAGTTACTATCCACATTTCACAGGCAAGGAGCCAGGGTTGAGAGAGAAAATGAAAAGTATGGCAGCTCAGGGACCAGCATCTGCAACTCAACCCCCAGTCTAGTGCTTTTTTTTTCACCTCCACATGTGTTATCCCCCTACCCCCCTTCAGTCAACATAAGAACAATCAAATATAAATACATGTGGGTTTTTTCCATCTTTGTTTCATCAAACAGTAAAAATAGATTGTAAACATACCTGGGAAGGTACATTTATATCCCTCCTGTGGTTGGAAATTCTGAATTAATTGAATGTTTATGTGCCAGACATCATGAGGATAATGAAATAATTAAATTGAGTCCCTGTCCTCTGGGTTTATTACTAGCTTAAAATTGGATAGATTATCCAAATATTTATAAACATATAACATAAATAAATGCAGATATCTTATATGTTTATATATTCACTGTATATTTCATATTCTTTATTCTATAATAAACATGAATATATACATCAATCTTACACAGATAAGTAAGAGTTTGATAGAGATTGTTTTCTGGAGGGGCCTCCTGGGGGGGTTGCAGTGGATGAAAGGGAGGTCTTTTTGAGGTGCACTGAGCAAGTAGGCAATAGAGCAGCTGGGCACAGTTCACCCCAACTAACTCTACAGAAACTAACTTCTGCACACCTAGTCTCCCTCCCCCTACTTCCCACCTCAGCCATGGAGACACCCTTCAGGTATCCTGCCAAGGAGGAATGAAATGTCTTACTCATCTTTTGACCTGTCCAGGTTGGGAATCTCCTATGGTTCATTGGATTACAATATTAATAAAGACCTAGAGACTTTTAATGCATAGATGAAAACACCTTCCCAATCTATCAGAGCAAGAAGTTAGCAGTTGCCCATATCTTCTTTTCTCAGCGTTTAGTACAAACACCTTGGAACATCTGGAGTTCCCTTTTATTCTATCACTAGAGGCCTGCTGCATGAAATTCATGCACTTGGGCTGGGGTGGGGTGTCCTTCAGCCCAGCCTGTGCCCTCTTGCAGTCCAGGACCCCTTGGGGGATGTCCACCTGCTGGCTTAGGCCCACTAAGCTGGCAGGCGGACATCCCTCTCGTAGTTCTGGACCCCTTGCTCCTTACTGCCAGCCTTCTTGCTGCTCCTCACTGCTCAGCTTGCTGCTCCTTAGTGCTGCTGCAGAGGTGGGAGAGGCTCCCACCACTGCTGCTGCGCTCATCAGCTGTGAGCCCGGCTTCTGGCTGAGCGGTGCTCCCCCTGTGGGAGTGCACTGATCACCAGGGGCCAGCTCCTGCATTGAGCGTTTGCCCCCTGGTGATCAGTGCATGTCATAGCGACTAGTCGTTCTGCTGTTTGGTCAACTTGCATATTAGGCTTTTATTATATTGGCCTAGGGGCCCGGTGCACGAAATTCGTGCACT